AAAAGAAAAAAAGAACAAAGTAGTTTTGCATTACAACTGGAAAAGGGAAAAAATCTGATTGCTCAATAGCAAGTTCTTTTATAGCTTGTTAAAACATTTTTCATGGTTAAACGTGAGGCTTTGCCATTTGAAAATCTCTAGATTGACTGATTTTTGATTTTGGAAGCCCATGTCCTTAGGAGGACTCTGCCTTTTCTCCTGCTGACTGGCTCATTGTAATGTAAACAAACATATAGTCAGTCTGTAATGACAGTATGCTGTAAATGTGTACAAACTGTCCTAAACACTGACATCTTCAATCTAATGCTTAGCAGAAAGATGAGAGGACTGTGGTTTTGAGGCTGTTTTAGCATATCTTCTTATATTCACAGTTGGCACTCTTGATTTTTATCTTCTTCCTCTTGTAGTTATATTGCATCAGTGCTGACAGTTTCATCACAGAGAACCACAGATGTATATGTTGCTTGTCTACAGTCATTATAACTACTGTAGATTCTTTACTATGATGGACAGTAAGCGGTGCATCCTCAGGGAGCTTTTGAAAGGCTTCGACTATCCATATGAATGATGTGCGTATGTACGTGTTTGTACTGAAGTCCAAGCCTGTAGTTCCTCTCCTCGCTCTGTTGTATACAAGGCTTGGCGGGCATGTTGTATGACAGCCTTTTGACTTTGACAGAACATTTGCTGCCAGCACAGACCGCAGCCTGCAGCATCTCATTCATGTCTTATTATATAAGGATTTTTGTTAGCACTCTAATTTATGTCCTCTCAGCCACCCCATGCCATCCAGGTCAGTTAGTGATCAGGCTCTTTGTCCTCTCCTGAAATCAGAGTCCAGTTAGCTTCCTAATGTCCTGAATAAACTAAAAATATTAGCCTCATGCTAACTAGCAGAGGCCTGTTTTGTTGTGGCTTGTGGTTGATATTGAGCTTTGTATTTTTTCCATGTACAGTACTGTTGCTAGAAGGAAGTGGGAGTACTAATGAAATATGGTCAGTTAAAGCCAAACACACTCACATCTGACTAAATAGTTGTACTTTTCACATCTTTGATTAAATTAATTTCTATCTTTGTCTACGGGCTGAATTCCTGAGTTTCATAACTCAAAGAACAAGCTTTAACAGCAACAACCTCTATCCTGTGATTACTTATTACTAGTGGTGCAACGGATCAAAAATCTCACGGTTCGGATC